GCTCGCCGGCCCCCGCCCAGCGCGATGCTGGCGTGGAGTGCGCCTCGGCCCCATAGAAGTCCGCCCGCCCAGGCCTGCTTGGCGCTCGCGCACGTGGCTCTCCCTGGCGCGTGCGGAGGTTGCAGAGGCGCTCGGAGGGGGAGCGCTCCGTGTGTCCTAAAGACACGTGCTGCTCTGCGCGGCTTCGGTTAGCGCCCCTCCCGCTGCTCCTCAGACACGGAATTGCACCTTGGCAATGAGGGCAGCTCGTGAGTAAGAGTGAAAGGGGGGGCGTGGAAAATGTCTTGCACTAGGCGCTCCCCACGAGCTTTGTTTGCACTGTCGTTCGGCTGTACGCGTGGGTAGCGCAGCAGATGCTAGCCGGATTGCTAAGAAATCTCTCCATCTCACCCTCCGTGTATCGGAGGCAAAGGCCAGCGTTTTCAAACCTGCCTCCTTAAAAAGGTACCTCCGCAAACTGAACAGCGGCTTGATTTTCAGCAGTGAGTCATCCACTTCAATGGAAATTATGACTTATTTTTTTTTTCAAACAAAACAGTAAGACCCAGCTTTGCAATTTTCAGCCAAAGGTTCCAATCCTGCTTTTATTTAAAGTCGGCTTCAAAGAGCACAGGATTGGTTTCCAAGGGAGTTTATGGAGTCAGTGTATTGATGGGGAGTATTTCATTCAGTTTCATTTCTTTACTAGGGCTAGGTCAATAAAGTGATGGGGAAGTATAATGAAAAAATCCTGGAGTTTTTAATTCCCGAGACTTTTATATTTCTTTTGGGGGACTAGTAGTTTTTCTTCTAGCATACAAAAGAATCACAGTATGGGAAATTATACAGAACATTGTTAGCAAAGTAAAATATGAATACCACCTCATTGAGCTATTGGAATTTTTTTATGTCCCTGGAAGCTTGTGGGCAGGCATGGAGTAGCTGATATAGTACTTGGACTCTCAGAAAGCACACAACAAGTTCCCAATACAAAAGGCATTTAAAAGTAAGAACTCAGGAGCTAAGAGGAAAGGACCTTTCATGGGTCAGTAACTGGGTAAAAGTTAGGGGGAGAAAAAATAGTAATGATTGGCCACTTTTCACAATAGAAAGTGGTAAGTAGTAGAGTTCTCTAAGGATTTGTATTGGGAATGATGCTGTTAAGTATATTCATAAACAGATCTGCCAGCAGGGGGTCAGTAACTGGGTAAAAGTTAGGGGGAGAAAAAATAGTAATGATTGGCCACTTTTCACAATAGAAAGTGGTAAGTAGTAGAGTTCTCTAAGGATTTGTATTGGGAATGATGCTGTTAAGTATATTCATAAACAGATCTGCCAGCAGGTTAGGAATCATTAAGAAAGAGATAGCAAATAAGACAGACAATAAATATCTTATTACTTCTATATAAATCTATGCTACGCCACATCTTGAATACTGTGTACAGACGTGGTCACCTCATCTCAAAAAAGATAACTTGGCATTGGAAAAAGTTCAGAAAAGGGAAACAAAAATTATTATGGAATGTCTGCTATATGAGGAGAGATTAATAAGGCTAGGACTTTTCACCTTGGAAAAGAGATGATTAAAGGGGGGGATCTAATAAAGGACTATAAAATCACTGGTGTTAAAAAAAAAGTGAATAAATAATATTTATTCCTTCCTATAACACAAGAACTAGAGGTTATCAGATTAGGTAGCAGGTTTAAAACAAACAAAAGGAAGTATTTCTTCACACAAGGCACAGTCAACCTGTGGAATTCCTTCCTAGAGGATGTTGTGAAGTCCAAAAATATAACTGGGTTAAAAAAGAATTAGATAAGTTCATGGCTAATAGGTTCATCAATAGCAGTTTAGACAAGATGATAGAGACACAACTCCATGCTCCAGAGGTCCCTTAACCTCTTGACTTCCAGAAGTAGGGATGGAACGACTGATCACTCAATTTCCCTGCAATATTCATGCGCTCTGGAAGACAGGATACTGGACTAGATGGAATACTGGTCTAACTTAGTATAGGTATTTTTATTTTTTTATATTGATTAAGATACACAAATAATAACAGCACTGAAACTTCTGGGTGACTTGCAGTCTGTGTGCTGTTTATGAAGTACCAATATATGTGTGTTTATTATTTCCCCTAAACCACTGTGTAAAGATATATCTTTGAATCTTACCTATTTATTTAGCTGTCTGGAAAGGACAATAGCATTGAGTTCTACAGATTTTGTGCACTCTAATGATGCCTTCAGCCTCTACTTTACCAATTACTGTAGTCCAGATCATTCCCACCTGCAGGAAATCTCTCAAAAGTGTTGTGTTGAGGGCAGGAGGAAGAGAGTTTAAATACACTTTTGAAAGGAAGGGAGAAGCTAGGAAAGGGATCATGTGTGTCTGTTTGATTTTTGCCTTATCCCTTACAGCTGCCCAGTTCTGTCCTCTCTGCTCAGGGTATCATGTCAAAGTCTGTCCACACCTCTTTCCACCTTAACTCATCTCCACATAGACTGGAGCAGATCCAAATGTGGAGGTTCACCTCTGCACAGGGGGCTAATGGATAAACATGATGCTAGGGTTAGAAGTGCTTCCTCAGGTTCTCTAGTATCTCAATCATCATATGACATGCCACAATTTAATAATACGCAAATTACTATGACGTGTGTGTAGAAAAGCACACAAGATTCAGCAAGAAACTTATCTTTTTAATTTACACAATATAAACCACAATAAGCATATCTTATTTACACATTTTCAAATACCTACTTAGGAAATCTGTTACAGTTCCAGGTTCACTTGAAAAAAATCATAGAAGTAATATTAAACATATTTTAAATGCTCTCTATATATTGAAATACCATTCAAAATCAATTATCTAACATTAGGGAAGGGAGGGAATGTTGAATAGACTTAGGGTATGTCTACACTGCCACCCTAGTTCGAACTAGGGTGGCTAATGTAGTCATTCGAACTTGCAAATGAAGCCCGGGATTAAAATATCCCGGGCTTTATTTGCATGTTCCTGGGCGCCACCATTTTTAAATGCCCCATAGTTCGAACTCCCTGACCGCGGCTACACGCGGCACGGTCTAGGTAGTTCGAATTAAAGCTCCTAATTCGAACTACCTAGCCTGTGCCACGTGTAGCTGCGGGCAGGGAGTTCGAACTATGGGGCATTTAAAAATGTCGGTGCCCGGGAACATGCAAATATTTTAATCCCGGGCTTCATTTGCAAGTTCTAATGACTACATTGTAGCAGTGTAGACATACCCTTAGATAACAATCAAGTGACCCTGTTTTGCTATTTCAAGTCAGGACAATGTAGAAGGATCTGTTATTTTTATGTCAATCAGTTAAACGTTTATTTGCTGGAATTTCTACTGGTAAGAATGCTTTGCTATATAAAAGTAAATATGTGTATTTATATATTTGTATTTTTCTATCATATATAATTTAAAGTTAAATGACAATAAAAGCCATATCTAATTTCAAAATGTGAAGAGATAAAAAATATACTTAACATTTATATCTGAGACTCTCAAACTATATTATAAAATAAACATCAATGGATTGCTTCAATGAGAACAGTTCCTATATAACATGCCCCGCCATCTGTGTTCTCTCTCAGTATTCCACATGCGTCATCAGTACAGCTCTTGACCCTGTTAATTATAGACAGGCACACTGCTAGCTTGAACTTGCTCCCCCTTTCGGCATCCAGTCAAAATCATACATGGGTACTCTGCAAATCAAAATTTACACTGGTTTGAAAAGGGAACATTTCACATGCGGAAATTATTCCCCACCCCAAACTCCTATCCGGATCCAGACAGTCATATCCCCACATTTAAGATGTTTTATAAAGGAGCTGTGCTTGTACAGACTGAAGCAAAGTAGCAGATTTTGTTCCTTTCTACACCCTGCTCCACCATTTCAGACTGAAATGGATTGCCATTCTAGTACACCTCAAAGCCAAAATCATTTCCTTCAAGATTACAAGCTCCTATCTAGAATACAGTCCTACCCAATCCTGTTTATGAAGGGATGCAACTGATTTGTACCAATGTAGCTGGTAGCACAGCTGAACTCAACAGGAATTTTAATGACTAATAAGTACCAAGAAAAGACTTCAGGATTTTTCTCCATGTCACTGTTTGTCCAATAAAACATAATACCAGAGTATCAAGTGAGCCAAATACTGCCCAATTAGGCCATCTTCAAGGCAAAACAGAAGTCATTCATTTGAATTTAAAATGTCATTCAATAAAACAAATAGGCCAAAACACCATTCGGAATACTTTTCTTTCTCAAGGACAAATTCACAAAATGGTCAGTTTCAGAGGAGTCTAAAACATGAAGCTTCATTGCCAAATCAGGAAAATATCTCTTCTCAAATAAATCTTATTTTCTTTTCCATAGATGATAAAAAAGCACGTTACAAAACTTTTCAGTGTCTATTTAAAATAACCCATAATATTCCCTTCAGCAGCCATACAAGTATTGGGTCTGGATAATGGAGTGCTGACATTAGCAGGTACAACTATATAGGGAGGCAGCATAGTCAGTAGCTGGCTACTGGACTACATGAGGACTCAGGAGGCCACTCTTCCACAGACCTCCTATGTGACCCTGAATACTTCCCTTTCCATTCTCTGCCTTAGGTATTCAAAATTCAAGATCATTAGTGCAGGGATAGTCTCTTACTAGGTGTATGTACAATACTAGCACAAAGGGATCCCAGGTTTGGGGTGCGTCTACACTGCGGGGCCTAACTCGAAATAACCTACGCAAATTGAGCTACACCAATTGTGTATCTTATTTCAAAATAGCTTATTTTGAAATAGGGAATGTCTACACAGCACTTACTTTGAAACAGAGTACTCTTCCTCTGATTTCCCTTATTCCTCATACAATGAGGGTTACAGGAGTCAGAGTAAGAAGTCCTCCAGCTTGACAGTACCTCCAGTCAGGACCTCAGTATAGCACTGCAGTATAAACAATAACAACATACGTATAAATGGAGTTGGGCTAGTGGAGAATTTGCCTTTTTTGTTTTCTAAAATTGTTGGAATATTGATAGGAGATACCTGAATTGAACTATTTTAAAACCAAAATATCAAGGCATGTTAAAATTAAACTTGCAGTTTTTCATTAGAATAAGAGAAGTTACATGGTAAAGTTAACTCTCTAGAGAATTTAAATGCCTATATTTGAAAACAACATAAACATTAGCTAGACAGTGGTTAATACATGAGTTTTCCACAGTGCGTGTCATTTTCTGTTTATGGTAATTGTTTTGATGGAGGGAGCTGTGAAGTGTAGGAAAGTGAAATCACTAACTGTGGTATGAATGAGATTGATTTGGATTGTTGGATGAATATAATCAAAGCTCCTTCGTAATAATGTTGTATTACATAGTAAAGGATGACATATTGTCACTCATAATTTCACTTGTCTGCCTTGAGTGATAAGTATCAGAACTTATCCTGGAACTCTGGGTCTTGTATTTCTTGTATTTCAGGCACCACAAATTCTTCATCATATTCACAAAGTAACTTCTAAATTTTACCCCAATAAATGCATAGAGCACTGGGTTCAAACAACAATGGAAGAAGGCCAGGGCTTCTGTAATGTACTTTGCAAAAGCTATTTTCTTTTCACTATCACACGACTTATTCAATTCACCCATATTTATGGCAGTCACAAGAAGAACCATGTTATGTGGTACTTGACAAACCAGGAAAACGAACACAATTAATGCAATCACACACATTGCTTTGTTTCTTTTGGAATTCTGAGCTTTCACCAAAGTTTTGATAATGAATGCATAGCAAAATACCATAAACAACAGAGGGACAAAAAATCCAAATAGAAGTTGCATACCCAGCAGCAGTAATTTCAATGTAGTGCCTTTTGTCTCTTTACTGGATCTGTGTTCACAAATCTCTTTTGTTTCATTGATCGAGTGGCTATAGCTTTGACTGAATATGAAAGTGGAACTGGAAATTAAAATTGATGATACCCATACAACCAAACAGATCAGTCTATTGTATGCTAGGGTTCTAGCCCGAAGTTTAAATGACTTTGTTGCCTGTACAATAGCAATGTATCTGTCCATACTGATAAAGGCCAAGAGCAGCATTCCACAATTGAAGTTGATTGCATAAATACCTCTGGTAATTTTGCATATAAAATCACCAAAGATCCATTTTTCAGCAGCATAATTCACTGCCCAGAGTGGAAGAGTGAGAACAAACAATATGTCTGCTATGGCCATATTGAAGAGGAATATATCTGTCATTGACTTTGTTTTTTTATATAAAGCAAAGGTCATCACTACAAAGATGTTGCCTAATAAGCCCAAGATGCATATAATTGAGTATGCAATTGGCAAAAATACTTTTGTGAAGTTTCTGACTTCCCTCTTGTCACATGGTACTGTAAGTTGATTATAATCATATGAATAATCTGGATATTCCGTGTAGTTGGGTTCTACCTGCAAAAACAATACTGCCAGTTAGCATAAACAGTGTTCATTTCTGCAAGTTCTTTCTATTGGGTAAACAATGGAGAGTTGATAGTATGAGACATAAAGCATCAAATTCTGCTTTTAGATACATCTCAGTGTCTCAATAGAAGTTCTGGAAATATTTGGTCCCAACAGTTTTTGAAAGTTAAGCATACAAATAGTACATCCAGTCACTTTTCTTTGAAATCTACCTTTTTGTCATCACCCTGACCTCTAAAATCTTTGTCAACTCCAGTAATATGCTGTCAGAACTAGGGATGTTAACAGTTAGTTAACTAACTGTTTAACCAGTAAGTGATTGCTTATCGGTTAACGGTTTTGTTTAAACACTATGACCTCCCCTCCCCGCACTGCATGCTCTGCATTTAAAACTCGGACCAGCAGGTTGGCTCAGTCCCAGCCTACTCATCCGAGTTTTCAGTGAAGAGCACGCAGGGAATTCACCTGTTACCCTATGCTGCTGCCTCTAAATCATCTGGTTTAAAAATTGCCTCCTGTGCAGACCTGCTCCCACCTGCCACCTTGTGCTGTTGCCTCTGAATCAGAGGCAGCAGCATGGGACAGCAGCAGCATGGGACAGCAGCAGCAGACCCTATCTGTGGGGAGCCTGAGCTCCCCATGGACTGAAGCTGTTTCAACTTCCCATGGAACAGCCCCTGTCTGCAGGACATCCAGGCTCACGGTGGACAGAGGCTGCTTCATGGGAATCCAAAGCAGCTTCTGTCCATGGGGGTCTTAGAGCCTTTGTTCATAGGGGGCTTGATAGAGAGACAGCAGCACAAGGCAGCAGCAGGGAGCTGGTCTGCCCTGAGAGCTGATTTTTAAACGGACCAGCTTTCATCTGCCACCCCTCTCTGCTGCCTCTACTACAGAGGCAGCAGCGCAGGGTCTCAGGGGGATTTCTGGGAGTAGAGCTGGGAGCACACTGGCTGCCAGCCTCACCCCTCAGGAGGCATCGAGTAACTATGTAACCACTAAGAAATTTAGCGCTGCCATTGTTATTAAAATAACTGCTTTCTAACATCCCTAGTCAAAACTCTAACAAAGGGCTCCCTCAGAAATGTTTTCCTTCAGTTGGTGATAAGGGTAATTGTCTCTACATTTTCTTCCCGCCCTGCATATTTGCATTGAGCATAGCTCAGGCAATCAGATCTTTATTTTCTCCACTAGCACGAGCTCTTTCACACAACAGTGAAAATACATTATTTTAACAGAAGAATTTTCCCAGAACAACCAATGTGTTTGAAGGAGTCTGAAGAACAGAACCCCCGCTCCCACCACACCACACCACACCACACACACCCTACCTCATAAATGTTAAGGTCAGAAGGGACCATTGTGATCATCTAGTCTACCTCCTGTACATTGCAGGCCACAGAACCACCCATCCCTTCCTGTAATTGACCCTTTACTTTTTACTGAGTTGCTGGTGTGCTCAGATCATGGTTTAAAGCAGGGATGTTAAATCCTGTTTAATTGTCTAACTGGTTAAACATTTGTTTAACTGAACAGCAATGTGTAGGTGCAGGCATGTGGAGCCTGCTTCAAAGCTGGCTTCCCATGCCTACTAGCTCCCGCCTGTCCTTCTCTCCCCGCCACTCCTCCCCCCACCCACCGGGTCACATTGCTGCCTATATATCAGAGGCAGCAGCTGTCAGCTCTGAGGGGGCCGGTGCACATGAGAGCCTGCATGAAAGCCATCTCCTTGCAAGCACTGGCTCCCACCTGAACCCCCCTCCCCACCGCTCATCAGTGAACTGTTTATACTATCATATCCATAAGCAGAATATCCAGTGACAACACAATCTATGAAACACAGTATCATCATAAATAACTCTCAGACAGTTACTCCCAAGATCATGACAATTAGTCTAGCACTTTCAAACAAATTCTTTTATGGTTATAATAATAAACTTTAGCAATACACTCCTTACCCCGCTCATTTTGGTGATTTGCGTCCTCTGATGAGAAAAGAATTTGGTGAGGACAGTTCTTGTGTCCTCAGGGTCCCTGTATAGGAGGGAAGTGGATTGGATCAGGAGAGCAAAAGAGGAAGTATCACAAGAGCAAAAATAAGCATGTGACCACAGACAAAGACAAGACTAACTAAATTCATGAAAACACATTTTCACTAAGTTGTTTCAGTTTTAATGAAATGGTAGGAAGTCTTCTGAGGCAGGGGCAAGTCAGACTTCTATTGTAAGGTAGTTATTAGGACATTGGCCTGTAACGTAAGGGATCCAGGTTCAGGATCCTGTTCTGCTAGATTCAGAGTCATCTGTGATTTTAGTGAATCACTTGAACAGGGAAGTGAAACTAGAGTCTTCCTCATCAGAAGCCAATGCTCTACCCATGTAGTCTCCCTGATTTTTATGAAAATGTTTGAAAGGTTTTTCTTTCATGCCAGAGCAAAACAAAAACTGATTTCAACACCTCAGAAGCGGTCATGAAAGGGTATGTCTGGATAGCAGTGTTATTTTGGAATAATTGACATTATTTTGAAATAACAGAGTGCATCTACACAGCAAACTATTATTTAAAAATCATGTCCAGTAAGGGAAGTTGATGGCTTGCTATGTAGACACAGCACTGAAAGCTGAATTAAGCTATTTTGACTTTCAGTTATGCAATTGACGTAGCTGAAGTTGCGCGTCTTAATTCAACTTTTGTCCTGCAGTGTAGATGTGCCCAAATAGAATTTTTCTTTGATCAATTCTGGTTGACGGTGACAGTACTAAACTGTTGAACTGAAATTGAGTGTTTGTGTGGTGAGGCAGAGAGGGAGTGGACGAACGTGGAGAGATATCAGTTGTGTGAATTCTGCTTTAACATGTTTTTTGTTTGGCTTTTTAGTGTCTGCACTATTGTGAGGAAACAGACAATCAAGCTTTACTATAAGTTAGCAAACCTTTTTGTGTAGGATATTTGTTCTTTTTTTAATTGCATAGTTTTTTAATCCCTATAATCTTTAGGGATTATAGTCCCATTTTTGAAGAGGCTGGAGGGACAGCAAGTCTGAGAGTCAAGCTGAGGAGATCATCTTCTCTGGTTAAGACTTGGCATGCCAATTAGAGAAAGCTTTAGCCAGTGATCCAATTTGCCTTGTCTGTTTCGCCAACATTTTAGTTGTGACACTCTGGAAGCCTGAAAACCTGAATAGGCTTGAGCACCTAGTGGAAGAATCTTGAATACTCCTTAAGCACACACGTGCATGCACACACACATTACAGGTTGAACCTCTTTAATCCAGAACTCTCTCATCCAGAAACATCCATCATCCAGAATGATTTTAGTTAGCCAGATGTCCACTTTTCATGGGTGTGGCCAAGTTTCCCACAGACCTATAAAGTTTGTTTACAGCCACCAGTCCTAGCTCTCAGTGTTCTATGCTGTTATTTAGTGCACATTTACCCCTAAATGTCTTCTAACAGGTCAGTAAGCAGTGGAAGTATTGGTAATGCTGCTAGACAATATTGATCTCCTGTGGTCCAGAAAATTCTCTTGTTCAGAACTGATCAGGTCCCAAAAGTTCCAGAATAGAGAAGTTCAACCTATATTTAAAGTTCTTTCTTGGAAGTATACAGTTTTAAACCAAGCAGTTGTGCTTGTTTCACAGGCTTCACTGTTTCCCTAACTCTGCTTCTTGGCTGGCTCCTATCTCAGACAATCTCTATCTGCTCCTTTAAGTCTTAGTAGGCACTTTCTGTTTCCATCCAGCTGTTGTCATTTGCCACTGCCCAATTTCCATTGCCCCAGCTAATTTTCTTGTTTGTTGTAAGCTATCAGCACTCTCATGCAGGACAGCTGCTCCTTCCTATGGTTTTGCTGAGATGTAGGAGAGAGGCTGTCACAGTGAGTCCTTTTTTGTAGTTCGGGTAATGAAACCTTGAATTAAATAGCTGCAGGATAGTGCTATTTCTGTCAGGCTCCCCCCCCCCCCCCCCCGGTAACTTATCTTGCAATTATATATTCAAAACAACACTCTCTATAACAAATAATCAATGTAAAATCATTATGTCACAATAGTTGTAAAATGTATTTAACAACAAATACATTGAAATATTGTATGCAGTATAAATAGAAATAGTCATGACTTGAAGTATTTACAGACCATACACATCATTTAAAAAAATTAACCCATGCCTTAGATTTTGGAATAATCTACGTACAAGTGAGGCTGTACTCAGTTTTCAAACTCCAGGGACTCTAAAGAATAAGTTAGGCCCTGCAAACAAAAATCAGATGTGGTAATTTTAAAAAGTTTGACACAAATGAATTCATAGATTTGCACGAAAAGCCTCTCAAATTAAAAAAGGTCAATTCTGTCAATTTGATGAGGATACAGAATTGAATCCCATTTTAAATGGGGTGAATAAGGACTGCAGTATTTAACTCTTGAGTTCAAAGACTTGCCTCACTTATGTTGACTGCAATAGGAAGTGATTCAGCCCTTATATAAGCAAAAAGTAAAATTCTTTATGCCTCTTAAGAGGCATTTGGTTAGTATTCCTGCTTCTATTTTTCTATCTTTATTAAGTAGTTATCAGGGATACCTTTTCATATGAAGCCACTAAAATTTTAAGTTCTTTAGTAGCTATATATTATAAAGCACATATGCACATACACTCTATACGTTATATGTGGTACAAATCCCACAAGAAGTTTTTCAGTTGTGTCATTTCTCCAGTGCATTTTCCTTGGTATATTTCATTTCACTATCCTCCAATACATTAGTCAAAAGTACTAATAAGATGCACAGGTAAACCAGTGAATAATTTGGAATTATAGCCGTATAGATGGAAGAGTCTTATTAGGTGGGTTAATAGTAAATATAGGTAAGGAAGACAGATTTCTGAAAGGCAAGAAGATTGCTGATACCTTAATGAAATCAGTAAGTAACTTCTAAACATTGCTAAAAGTAATCACAGCTCCACTTCTTACACTTTCCAAATGTAAGAAGATTAAACAGATTAGGTCAGACTACCATTCAGATACTTGCATAGCTTTGTTTTATTTCATTACTCACCAGTGCAGAAAAATGTTTGATACTTCAGTCAGAGAAGAAGTAGGTATTCGTTCACTTCAGTAAAAATGCACTTGAATATTAGGAACTTGAGAAACAAGAAATAGTAGCGTTAGTTATAAGTATAGGTCACATTCAAATGATCACCACTTCCTCCTAACAAGTAACAACAAAAATCTGTTTTGCATGTAAACACAGAAATTCAACCATGGGTGCATTGTGGATGACAGTCTGGATGTTATTTGTTTAGTAAGAAACTGACAATTTTGATAGTTTTGTTTAAATACTCCTGTTAGTACTAGAACAATAAAGACTAGGTTGGTATCTCATTAAATGATTTCATTGTTAATTAAATAGTTTTATTGTGCTTAGAACATATAATGACTTGTGGCCTCTATCCTGCTTAACTTTTGTATATTGCTGAAGTCAATGACATTTTTAACAATATCTATAAAGTTAAAGACATCTAAGTATTTGCAGGATCATTTCCTACCTTAGTTACTTAACTGAGCAGTAATTGTGTTCTAAAGTACACGTAAGTCCTTACTATATATTGGATTCTAAATTTTCAAAATTAGATACATGAAATATACTCAAAATGTGTAGTGTATAGACAAAACAGGAAAACCTTTGTCACCTACTTTTATACAGACTTTTTCTATTTATATATGTATATCTCAGGCACAATGTTAACATCTGTTCTAATTAGACTTTGAAGAGTTTGATTTTATGTTGTATGAATTCTGGATAATATGTGTTTATTTTCATGTATTTTATGTATTCACTTATATTAATTCAAATGTTTGCAGTAACAAGAAATTAAACAAAAAATAAATCCCTGAAATATGAATGATTTACTCAATGTCCTGAGTGTAAAGTTGCCATAATTTGTAATATTATTAGATGTCACCAGATGATGGCGAGCCTTACAAATTTTGTTGAAATCAGTAGGATGTTAGATCTTGGAGAAATGCTAGATGTTGAGTGTAATACAGTTCTTTGTGGAAGCTGAACACATAGCAGTAAAGTTGGTTCCCTATCTGAGTTTCTTTGACTGTAATAATTGTATAGAGGCCAGACATATAAACATAAACACAGAATCAAGCACATTGAATGATGTCAAAACATTAAATAATTGATTCAAACTAGTATGTAAAAAGTCAATAACAATTTACAATTACTATCCTGTGGTAGAAATGTATCCATGTTAGTCTGGTGCAGCTGAAACAAAAAACAGGACTGTGTAGCACTTTAAAGACTAACAAAATGGTTTAATAGGTGATGAGCTTTCGTGGGCCAGACCCACTTCCTCAGATCAAATAGTGGAAGAAAATTGTCACAACCATATATACCAAAGGATACAAATTTGATTTGTCCTTTTCATATGTGTTCATTTTTTTATTTGTATCCTTTGGTATATATGATTGTGACAATTTTCTTCCACTATTTGATCTGAGGAAGTGGGTCTGGCCCACGAAAGCTCATCACCTATTAAACCATTTTGTTAGTCTTTAAAGTGCTACACAGTCCTGTTTTTTGTTTCAGCTGCACCAGACTAACATGGATACATTTCTACCACTATCCTTAATTTGTTTCTCAGGTGCCCTTCTGCATGATATCAGTAACAAAGGCTCTGATTGGAATGATATAGTAGAATCCAATTCTTTGCTAAGATTCCTGACACAAGCACAATACTCTTTCATTAGCTCTCACATGAAATCTGTTTTTCCTTATATATTCATGCACACATTTTCATTATTACTGATAAAAACTTCCTTCAGTTTTTAGTGTGTGAATATGCATGTCCAACAAAAAGGCAGTGAAATTAATCTCTGGTTTGTTTGAATTGTCTTCAGTAGAGTCTTTCAGGGCTAAATTTAGCCATTTATCACTGTTTAGCATAGCCCACAGTTCCAGTTGAATAGGCACATGACAGATTATTGAAGTCATAAAACAGTTGAGAGACTGACCCAGTGTCTAGGGGAGAGTGAGGCATGCAAGAGAACAACATGTCTGGATTGAGGCTCATCTAAGACAGAAGCGATGCTGTTAGGCTGGGGAAAACAACTGGAAAAAATGGCAGTGATTATATCTGCCTCTAAATTTATTTGTGCTTAGTCACCGAGTTTATACCAGGATTTTATTCAGTCAACAGCTGCATTTAGAAAATCAGGTGGGAGCAATGGTTCCAAAAGTATTTTACCATCAACGCTTCGCCAGACAGGCATGACTTTATGGAATTGCTCCTACTGTCCATGCCTTTGTACTTTCAAGTTAGATTACTGCAGTGGACTTCTCATGAGACTGCATCATACATCAGTTTATAAGATGAAAAGTGGTGCAGAAGGTGGCTACTTGGTTTGTAATACAGTGTCCTTTAGAAAGCACATAATTTCAATAGTATCTGCACTGGTTACTTGTTAGCTTACACTTAGATTTAAAGATGACAGTTTTAAATGATAAAGCCCTAAATGATCTAAAGCCAGTCCACCTGAGAGATGTCTCTCCTATGAAGCTCTGCCACAGTTGTGGTAGAAGTACTGATATGAATTCACTGTTGAAATAATAGAGAAGGTGGCTAACAGGTAAACAGAATTCAAAAGGGCTGCAGGACTCTGAAATAGCCTGATTTAGCAACTTCTCTGGTATGATCCAGGACCTATCAGTTTCACCAGACCTTTGAAGAGTGGTAGATAGAGTGAGATATTGTTCAATAAAAACAACAAATGGTCTGGTAGCACTTCATAGACTAATAAAACATGTAGATGGTATCATGAGCTTTCGTGGGCACAGCCCACACCCACGAAAGCTCATGATACCATCTACATGTTTTATTAGTCTATGAAGTGCTACCAGACCATTTGTTGTTTTTTTTCTGTAACAGACCAACTCGGCTACTCCCTGAAGATATTGTTTAGTGTCTAACAAGGGGTAATATTTAATTCCTACAATGTGGTAGAATGCACGAACTGAGTATACTGCATTTTGGTTTTGTATGTTTACATCACAAGCAGGATGTCCAGAGCTTGTGGATGGGTGCTTTCTACTTTTTGCAAACAAAAAGTAGTCGTCAACTAATCTACTGTATATAATGTATTTGTTTCATTATGTATAAAAACACACCCATCATTAAAATCTCACTATATTGTAAGTAAATGAGGTCCCCCTAGGCCAGCTACAAAGTTGTTAAATTTGTTTTATTAAGAACAAATTAAACAATACAAATATCTATGCTGCTTGGTTAAGAAAAGCTTTTCCGTAAGATCTTATTTGCTAATACTTTTTCTTTATGTTGTTAATTCTGTTTTACTATCTAATGAATAACTTGCATTTCCAAAGATACTGTATGGGGTCTGATCTAAAACTCACTGAAGCAAATGGATGACTTTTAGTAACTTCACTAAGCTTTGGATCAGGCTCATAATGCTGTTTCCAGATTGTTCTGGAGATAGAAATGCTAGTTTTATTTCTAATTCTCTTGTTTCTGAAGTATCATACTATAGCGTTTAACCTCCTCATTCACTAACTCTGGCTGTGAAAGTAGCATGTGCTATGAAAATGTTTTTAATAGATTGTTACAAAATGGTTTTAAAATCCCACCTGTTCTAAGGTATTTGTAAAATGAGATAGACAGTTATTTATACCATTGCATATCTTCGAGGAACTTACTAGAGAGAAAAGCAGTTTCTATTAATATCTATTCATAACACTAATCCTAACCCTTGATTCATAATTATTTTGCTTGGTATATTAAAATTTTGGCCCCAGTCCTGCCATGAGACCCTGCCTCAGAGAATACATTGCAGGATCAGGGCTCTAACATTTTTTTCTTGCCATTAGAAAACCTTTGAAAACTTTGAGAATGAAAAAATGATTATGATTCTTACCAAGCTAAGTTTATTGCACAAGCCAATTCCAGCTTACCTCACTGGTGTGAATAGTCTGATCAGCTTCAATGGGGTTACTCACATGAGTAAAGTAAGTAGGATATGATAACGATTTATAGTCTTCTAAACTAGACACATCACTCAAAATAAATGTGCTAGTTTTCAATCAAAATGCTCACTTTCAAATGAAGAATTCTGTTGCTAATAATGGGCCTAATCATCATCTTTCTTCAGGTGTTGGCCCACGTTCTAAGCATTTACAAAGCAATGATACTACTACCCTGAAAGGTAATAAAGTATCATCATCATCATCATCTTCACATTTTTGCAGATTAAAAAACAGATCCAGAGAAGTTCCATGATTTTCCCAAGGTCACACAAAGAATCTGTGTCAGTGGTGGATACAAGAACTCAGAAGAAGATACAATCTGAGCCCTAAACACATTTATTAAAAATAAGAGGGATGGTTATTGCCCATTAAGTAGACTGGTCAGATGTTCAGCTTGGACACTATACAAAGCACTGCTGATTCTTTTTCTGTATTATAATATTCCCTAATTAAAGTATAATTTTTCCTTTTAGTCTGTAATAGACCCAATTAGCAGAAAAAAAGCATTTTTTGAAAATGAAGAATTAAATCCATTTTCGTTGGCTAAGGTAATTAGTTTGCCTTACCACCACTGCACATCTTCTTTTGACCCATTTATTAAGTCCAGACAGCCGTGCCAGCAGACACCCCAGACTTCTTCAAACTGTTATAAGGAGAGGGTTTTTTCTTTTTAAGACAGCTTGCTGAAAATCTGCATCTTATGCAAATGATGCCCCCACACAATCTTGTACTTCTATTTCATCTCAAAAGGAAACTTACTCTCATTTTGCTAATATGGTTATTGTGGTTTGCCAAATCTTACCACCTGTCAGTTGTCTGCTACCACTAACTGAGCAAAAAGCATATAAAGTATAAGAAAAATATAGTACATGTTATGTAGATGAAATCCACAGCATAACTTGGACAGATCCTGGGCTTTTTTGCTATTCTAGGAAAACTTCTGCATGTGTCCTCTACTTTGTACCAACCTATGTTTTGAATTCATTTACATTTAGATTCACATATATTGATATATATAAAATGGCACCCATCAGAAGCGGTCATTCCTTACGAGTGTAGAATTTAAATATAATACACGGATATATTTAATTTATTACATTTAAGTTTACACATCATATTGTAACTATGCTTTCTTTTAGATATATTTTTACCTTTCTCCTCTGACCATCTCCTTATTCTGTTTTTCCTCTCAAATTTATTTTTCTATAGTGCAGTTTTCTATCTTTCTCTCTCCCTCCATTCCATTCCTTCCCTTTTCTGTTGTATTCTTTCAGTCATTTCCCTCCCTTTTCTACATTGGCCTCCAGAACCTTCTTTTTCTCATCACCCAATATAACCCTACCTCCACCTACTTGCTGCTCGTTATTTTCAAATTGCTCAAATTCTCTTTTTTTACTCCCAACCTTTACTCTCTCTCACTCTTAGTCTGTCACACACACACATTCTTCCGTGTATATTGGTCAAACTGGACAGTCTCTACGAGAAAGAATTAATGGACACAAATCAGATATCTGAAAAGGCAAAACACAGAAACCTGTTGGGGAACATTTTAACTTGCCTGGGCACTCATTAATGGATCTCAAAGTCACTATATTATTTCAAACCAACTTCAAAAGTCAGCTCGACAGAGAAACTACAGAACTTAATTTCATTTACAAGATTGATTCCTACAACAGAAGTCTAAACAACAACACTGGCTGGATGGCCCACTACATTCCACATTCTAATGACTTAAAAAAAACAAAGGGTACTTAAAGTGGGTACTAAGTATTTTCATCAGCTTCGTTTAGCATGGACACTAAGGCTATGTCTACACTGCAGGCTTCTTGCCCAAGAAGCATTTTGCGAAAGAGTGCGTCCACACTACAAAAGCGATTCGCAAAAGCAATGCGCTTTTGCTCAAGAGAGCGTCCAGACTGCACGGATGCTCTCTTGAAAGAAAGCTTTGATTGTTATTCATAGAATAGCCACCAGAGCACCTGTGCTTTTTTTTTTATTGGCTCTTTTTGCACAAAAAACCCATTGCCTGTCCACACACACCTTTTTGCGCGAGAACTCTTTACGCAAAAAGGAGTTATTTCTCATAGAAAGGAATACCAAAACAGCAAAAAACCCTCTGTTCTTTTGATTTACTGTAAATTTACTTGTGCAAAAAAGCGCTTGAGGTGTGGATGCTTGGTGGGTTTTTGTGCAAAAACCCTTTACTGTAGATGTAGCCTAACTGACAATTTCTTTTCCTTTTTTCCTTCTCTTCCCTCAATCCCCATTCTGTGCTATTTATTTTAAAACTGGACCCTTTAATCTCCATTCATCTGAAGAAGTGGGTTATGCCTATGAAAGCTCATGATACCATCTACATTTTTGTTAGTCTCTAGGTTCTGCAAGACTATTTGTTGTTTAAGTTTTTCCAGTTATAGACTAACATGGCTACACCTCTGAAACATTGTGCTCTTGTCCTTCCCAAATCCATCCTGGCCCTTACAGACCCATACTTTTGGAAGGATTGGGGGGGTTCCTTTTTCAGGGTTGCATCAGCTAGCAGAGGGCACTTCTAATTCCCATGGAAATGAGAGGGACTGAGCGAGGTCTTCTGTATTAGGGTTTAGCTCAGTCTACTTCATCTAAATCTCAAATGAGACAGAGAAAGCTGAGCCCTTATCAGCTGTTCAGCAAGGGTTTTCTAGGGATAGAGGAGAAAGAGTTGTGGGTCTTCTCTGCAAGAGTGGAGGTGAATGGAGAAGGGAGGTGCAAATGAAGTGGAGGGATAGCAGCATTGTTGACCCCAGGCTTAGTTCTTGTTCTTAGCTCAAGAGATACTAGGTATTTTGTTCTGGTTGCAAAATCTCTTCACATTGTCAATATTCTGTTACCAATGCATGTACCATTTGCCATGGAAAGGTAAAAAATAATGTAAGAGCAAACACGGTATGAATGGGAAAATAGGAAGTGGCCTATGTGACAATGATAAAGAATTACAGAAAGTCTCTTTTTTTCTACACTGAAAAAGGAAGTGTCAAAGTGGGGAAAACATTATTATTTCTAAAGCTTTTCTTTCTCAATCTTCTTCACTGCAGAACTTCGGTTTAGAACATTCCCCAGCTCCCATAGTGCCTGGCTTCCTGAAACAGATTTAAAGAAACAGTGTATGAGTCCTCATGCTTATCATTAACACTTCAGTAGAGCAAAACAATTTGTAGGAAAACAAGTTTTGTCTAACTTGTCAACAGATTTTTTTAAATTTTTTTGTCAGAAATTTGAATTCCAAAATATTTCAGGTGAAAAGACAAACAACATATTATAGTTTACCAAAATAATTATTGTCAAAACTAAACTTCCTAAAAGCAAGGCAGTTTTGCTAGATGGTCATCTTTAATTTACCTAATCATGCCTAAATACCAGGCTAGCAGTATGTCAGTGAATAAGCTTCCATATAATACAGCAAACTTCAGGCACTCCAAGGGTATGTCTACACTACAGCGCTAGTTCGAACTAACTTAGTTCGAATTAGTTAATTCGAACTAAGCTAATTCGAACTAACGCGTCTAGAACTAAAAACTAGTTCGAATTAGCGTTTTGCTAATTCGAACTAGCAAGTCCACATTGAGTGGACCCTGAACAGGGCTTAAGGATGGCCGGAAGCAGTGCCGGCAGGGCATCAGAGGAGGACTTAGAGCATGGAGATGCTGTCTCAGGCTAGCCGAGGGCTGCGCTTAAAGGGTCCCGACCCCCACCCCAGACAGACAGTTCTAAGGGGTGCCCCGCTTGCAAAGAAGTTCTGGCTTGGAGTGCCCTGAGTGCCCACACTGGGCACATCACACCACTCGGCCATCAGCCCGGCTGCACTTGCCGCAGGCTGCCATCTGGGGAGAGGGAGTAATTGGGGGGCTGCAGGAGAGCTTCCACCCCCAGAAGCCCGCAGAGCCAGCCCAGTCCTCCCCATCGGGGGCTCGTACCCCATTCCTCCCTCACCTCCTTCCACTTACCCTTCCCTAGCCCCCCTTCTTATTGATGTACAAAATAAAGATAACGTTTCTTCCAACATTGACTCTGTCTTTATTGAACAAAACTGGGGGAGACTGGGAAAAGGAGGTGGGAGAGGGGAAGAGAAAGGCTGGGAGAGGGGAGGGCAACTAACATGATCAGGGGTTGGGAACAGGTCCCAGATGAAGAGAGGCTACAGAGACTGGGACTGTTCAGCTTAGAAAAGAGGAGACGGAGGGGGGACAGGATAGAGGTCTCTAAAAGCAGGGGTTGGGTGGAGAGGGTGCATTCAGAAAAGTTCTTCCTGAGTTCCCATAAAGAAGGACTAGAGGACACCAAAGGAAAGGAATGGGTAGCAGGCTTGAAACTAGTAAGAGAAAGTTGTTCTTCTTCCCAAAGCAAATAGTTAACCTGTGGAACTCCTTGCTGCAGGAGGCTGTGAAGGCTACAACTAGAACAGAGTTTAAAGGGAAGTGAGATCAAGTCATGGAGGTTGGGTCCATGGAGTCCTATTAGCCAGAGGGTAGGAGTGGTGTCCCTGCCCAAAGTTTGTGGAAGGCTGGAGAGGGATGGCACGAGACAAATGGCTTGGTCATTGTCTTCGGTCCATCCCCTCCAGGGTCCCTAGGGTTGGCCGCTGTTGGCAGACAGGCTACTGGGCTAGATGGACCTTTGGTCTGACCCAGGACGGCCATTGTAAGCTCAGGGCTCAGGGTCGGGGGTCTCAGTGGACCCCCTTGATTTTCATGCACACCTGGTCCTGGGTGGCCAGGCTGGCAGCTCTCCTGCCCTAGACGGCCACTTTCCTGTGCCTAGTGCAGAGATCGTGGACAAGGTCCATTATGTCTGCACTAGCCCAGGAAGGTGCCCACTTCTTGCGGTCCTGGGCAATCCGTGCCAGGTGCAGGGTCTGCTGGCTGGGTGCTGGCAGGCTTGCACCTGGCACGGGCACCGTAGCCAGCCTGTGCCCCTGGTCCGGGGCCGGGAGGGGGGCATAGAGTTTCCCTGGTGTTGGCCAGAGTGGCCACCAGGGAAAGCTGGGGAGGGCTAGCCTCCCACTAGTTCGAATTAAGGGGCTACACACCCCTTAATTCGAACTAGCTAGTTCGAACTAGGCTTAATCCTCGTAAAATGAGGTTTACCTAGTTCGAACTAAGCGCTCCGCTAGTTCGATTCAAATTCGAACTAGCGGAGCGCTAGTTTAGCGGCTATGAATGTTAGTTCGAACTAACGTCCGTTAGTTCGAACTAACATTGTAGTGTAGACATACCCCAAGAGAGTTACATATAAAGTAATTGACTCAATTCATAATTTCCACATTTTTGGTGGTTTAGTCAGAGCATGAACCTTGTGGTATTTTTTCCCCTTCTGTCTGTATTTCATGCCTTATTGAAATAAGTACCCTAGTAGTTTCTCAAAGGTTCTCATAATTAATCTAAACCCTCAAATGGTGACACTTCTAGACAAACATATTGAATACATCAACCTGATTTCTGGTTACTCTGTTTCTACAAGAAATCTGGTTCTTGGAATGCCCCAATAGTACAGAGGCAGCTAAGTGAAGAGTTTTGGAGGGACTTTAGACCAGGAGTATGAGAGACTCCATA